AAATTCTAGTATCTTATGCAAAATTATTTCTTTTCCTCCCAGGCAAAATTTAAATTAACAAAGTATCGAGAGACCATAATCATAAAAATAAGTGCAGGCTTTTCTGTCAATTGAATCAACATCTTCAAAAGATTTAGGGCTTCCTTAGGCCATAAAGCTTAGACACCCATTATCTATCTTAAAAATGATTATAGGGATAGTAATATAATATCCATAGTTGTCACACTGCAATACATCAAATTAATGAGCCAATTGCTTCAGACTTATTTTAAAGAGCCTGTATGAAACAGTTTCTGGTTATACCTAGTAAGGTATGGACTGAACAGACACTGTGAAAGGACATTCTAACTACATGAGAGACAGCACAACTTTGCTGGGGCAGCAATCTCATTCCCACTTTTCTCAGTGATTCCTGATCATATTGCTTAAAATAATGGCTTAATTCCTCCAGCTGCAAAGGAGGAACAGCTCACACCCTTCTACTTGGGCCTGCATGCCAGCAACTGTATAAGTAGCCTTTAGTAACATAGTATGAACTCGCCCCAATTTGTGAACATTTAGAAAAACTGTTTTTATTTCCTGGATGACCATATTTACTTGACCAGCAGATATAAATTCCCACTTTCCTTCAACTGATGTCTCATTTGATCTTAAAGTTTTCATACAGTGGAAATACTTCTTTTTGTCTTTACTGGCTTGATGGCTGCTCAGCAAAAAGAAATGCCTCACCAAACTGCTCAAGTTCTGGGAGTCTTTCTTTCTTAAATAGGGGCAGACAGCAGATGGGAACTTGAAGATATTTGAAAAAGAACCTCCAAGATTTGATTACTAAACAGATAAAAATGTTCTGAAATGATATTTTGTGTGGTTAAAAACATACATGTTCCTATCTCAAAGCTGTTCAAAAACATGGCCTGAACCAAAGGGGCCTCATTAAGTTGAGGGTAACTGCCTGTAGTCTATGGAAACCCTTGGTGTTATGGTATCTGCTTACATCAGTACTGAGTTTCACCCAGAGCATGACTGGAGTGATGAGGGCTACAAAAAGTTATTGTCTATGAAATGCTGTGCTATGTCAATATCATAATGCTACAGCTTGTAAATTCACATTGATCTGTATAATAAAAATGCTTACAGCAGGAAGGAACTCAATCAAGCACATGTTTGCTGATATATAAAAAAATAACAAGCCATCTTGCTGGGCATTTGATTTCCAGGAGATAATCCCAGACAGTGCTCTGAAGACTAGAGAGAGAGAGAGATAGAGAGGAGATAAGAAGCTGCAACAGGCTGGCAGTATGGTCCTGAAACACCATCCCCTATTAGCAGGTGTTGGTGCTGCTGGGAAGCTGTTGCATGGATTTTGCTAACACCCTGAGCAGATGGCTTAAAAAAGAAACGAGTGTTGCTTTTTGAAGCAAAAATTATGTATGGGCTGAGAAGTCCTGTAGCAAGAATCCCAAGGGAATGTATAGTATAGGGAGGGAAGTTGCATCGAACTTGTTTCTTCATTGGTAATGTTTTCTGGTCTGACACTGGAAGATGAGTGGTTTAGGACAGCACAGACTGTGTTTGGACACAGCTTCATAGCAAGTGGAAAAATGCACCTGTTTAGAAAAGCATAATGATCTACTTAGTAAATACATTTTAAGATCAGTGTTGTGTAAACAGACAAAACCACAGTGGGAATAGCTATTATTCCTATTATGCAGCCACATTCTTGTTCTGTTTCAAAGTTTTTGAACTTCGTGATTGTTACATTTGATGTTTTGAAACCCTTTTTGGCATTTGCCAGTGCTAACAGTTGCACAAGGACAGAACCTGTTTCAACAGCAGAGGTAAAATGCAACTTCAAGTTTTCTGGACCATATTAGACTATGAATCCTCTTGCAGCTCTAGAAGCTGATGGCTGAGTGAGTAGGAGAATTAGGTTTGCATTTCAAAGGCTATTTTGTGACTTTGTTCAAAGACCAGTGTTCTTCAGATGATTTAATTATCCTCTTTGTAATTTGAAGACATTGTATTTACTGACTTTGAGATGGATCACATATACACAGCATTACAGAGCTCATAATTATTCAGGGAATATGTTAGTAGTAACAGGAAAGGTGAAATAGGAACTATGCTTAAAGAAATAATCAAGCTTTCTCTCAAAGATAGAATTGATCCAACTGCCCCTACAATTCTTCTACTGTGACAATTAAATTCATACAGGAACCCATCATTCCTGGATGGAAAAATAGGGAAAAACTAAGAAAATTCATAGAAATATGTAGATTTCTGAGAAAGCACATTCTTCCTGATCTCTGGTTTTCTGTTTTGCCTGTGCTTGTTTATTTGTGAAATTCATAGGATAATCTTCATGCCATATAAAAGGTATTTTTATTACTAGTTCTATTTACACTAATTATCTAGGCACATCTGTTCTCAAGTGCATCAATGTCCAATATTTAAACTAGCTCAATATTAAAAATAAAACTCTATCTAATCATCCTAATTAAGCATCTGTGTATTTAATACCCTGCTTTGGTTTCTTACTACATTTTGTTAGCTCTAATGTTTCAGCATGGAGGTAGGAGTACCATCTACTTTCAGACTGATTCAGAATGCAGATCGCATTAACAAGAGTAAATCTGATCAGCTTCTGGGAAACAACAAACATTCTAAAAGCACATTCTGGAAGAGATTAATGCCTCCCAGGAATGGAGATGAGAAAAGGGGTTTGTGCTGTCAGGCTCTGGCCTTTGCTGGTCATAGGCTGTGATGTCCCACTGCATTGGCACTGCTCTGCAAAGGGGAGACCTTGGAAGGCAGGTTGTTAGGAAAAACCTCCCAGGAGCAGAGCAGGGCACAATTGTATTGCCAAGCTCCAGTTTGTCTACAAAGAATAAAGCAACAGCTGGGTACAATCTCTCAGCATAAACTCGCATTTGTGATGTGCTGCTCTTTCCAATTAAAAATATAATTAGCTCAGCAGGAGGTGTGCACCTCACTTGAGGTGCAGAGTCCTGATTTAGGGTACGGAATGTGAACGTACAGCTAAAACAAAGCAGGCAGAACATGCTGTAGGCCCAAAGCAGCTTTGACCCAGAGATAACATGCAATGCACATAAACCTCGTAAATGGCTTCATCTGCAGTCAGTGGCAGCGTTCCAAGTGACTAACGGAAAGAGAATCAAACCTTTCCTAGGAGCATCCTGTAACACAGGTTTTTCACAGCTGTGAGAAAAATAATGAATGCTTACATGGGGATGAGCTTAGATCCCATGGCTTTAGCATGGTATTTCTGTCATTAAAATTTAGATGTTACTACAAACACTTACCTACACAAAAAAGCATGGGAGTTTCTATCATGTTTGCGAGTAGAAATTATACCTTTGCTTTTTTTTTTTTTGACAAGCCCAACAAAGGTTTAATTGATAAATAAATGATACTTTCTGTACATCAGTAAAAAACACGATACAAACTGTAACCAAACCCAATGAAAAACACCATTTCTGTAAAAAGTAAATTATTCTATTTTATAAGTCATAAATGAGAACATGAAAAAACAGTCTGACTTCTCCTTAGGATTTCCTAAAGGATTTTTCATGTGGCTTTCTGTCCTTAACAATCATTTCAGTATTTGCAAGAAGCCCACAATCTGTTCCTTTTAAAATATCAGCTTACCCTGCAAGATGGTAAATTAGAACAAAAAAATTAATGCTGATCAGGGTGCAACTGAACTTTCAACAAACTTGTTTCATGTCCTTTAACACTGTCAACTTTCTCTGTTCCAGTTCTTTCTGACCAAGAAAATGAAACTTGAAACTAAGCCTTCTATATATATTAATTTCTAACTGCCTTAGAGAGGTAGTTGTAGAGGTTCTCATGAAAGGCCTATTTTAGCCAAGAGATTGTGCAAAAAGGTTAGAATGGAATTGATTTTAAAGGTACGTCGTAGTGAGGAACGTGTGATGTAAGAATGTAATAGTACAAATAAAGGTGATTAATTGATAAAACAGAAGAAAACCCAAGCACTAGCAACCAGAAGAAGTCAATAAAAGAATACAGCTGGTTCTATGGCAAACATAATTCAGCCTAAATCAAATGCCACAGTGACTTTCACTGCTTGTGAATCAGGCTCCTAACCTTGATAAACACAGAGGATACTACATAATCTATTGAGATAACTGACTAAATTTCAGTTGGGTTTCTATTACTTATTCTTAATTTTTTAAAAGTTTTTTACGCTTTTGATAAATTTTTTAAAAGATTTGACAAGTGTTTCTCTATTTTTTTTTTAATCGTTAATGCCTTTATCTGATTAGGTCACGTGCCTTACGCGAGGATGCAAAGTATGTCAGGAGAAGCCCGAAATGGCTCTTTTAGAGTGGCAAACAGCGGATCGTGCAAATGGGAGGACATCTGGCCGCGGGTCCAAACGAGAAGAGGAAAAGCGCGGTCTGGCACCGCGGGTAGGTCGGCACGGCCCCAGGGGCCGGGCAAGGGCCGGGCTGAGCGCAGGGACCCGCGGGCAGCTCCACCCGCCGCGCTCGGGGAGGCTTCGGCGCCTCAGGGCGAGCGCGCTCGGGGCGCCCGCGGGGCTCCCGGGCCGGGGAGCGCCCGGCCCGCCGCAGCGCTCCGCGGGGCTACCGAGGCGCGTCCCAGCAGCCGGGCCCCGGCTCGGAAGGGCCGAGGGGAGCGGCCGCTGCCGGCCCTGAGGGCCTCACGGGCCGGGCCGGGCCGGGCGCTGCCCGCGCGGCCGCTGGGTCCGCTCGCGTCCTCGGGCGGCGAGACAGCGCGGGCCGCTCCACCGCCGGCGGAGGGGGGACACCGGCGGACGGAGGATGCCGGCGGACGGCAGCTCTGCCCCCGCCCGCCGCGCCGAGAGCCGCCGCTCCAGGCACCCCGCCCGCCGCCCCTTGGGCGCCGTCCTCGCACGTACCTGTGTGGGAGGGCCCGGCCGCCCTCGCCCCGCCCGCCCGGCCGCCGGCCGTGCCCCCTCGCGGGAATGGTTCGTCCCGGCTCCCCGCCGTAACCTCCCGCTCCTCCTCCCGCCCGTGCCCCGCGGATGCGGCCGCGCGGGATCGGCCCCGCCCGGCATCGCCCGCCGTGAGGCGCAGCACGCGCCGCCCGGAGCCCCGAGCGCTGCAGGACCGCCCGCCCCGCGCCCCGGCAGGTGAGCTCGGCGTGAGGGGCGGCGGGCGCTGCCCCCGCCTCTGCTGCCGCCCCCAGGAGAGGCGGCGGAGCGCCGGCCCGCCGTGATTCAGCATCACCGGCGGGGACGGGCAGCCCCGCCCGGCCGGGGGGCTGCGGGGGTGCCGGAGCGGGGTCTGCGGGCGGCTCGGGGCGATGCTCCGGGGGGAGCGCGGGGAGTGCCGGCGCTCGGCGGGTGCCGGGGGCGGGCGGAGCAGCGCTGCCCGCCCGGGCAGGGGCGGCGGGGCCCGCGGAGCCGCGGGCAGCGCCCCTCGGGAAGTTGGCTGAAGGCAGCCCTCGCGCAGGGAGGGAGGATGACTGCGCGTGTCGCAGTGTGAGGAACAGGGAGCCAGGAGGCGTTTCAGGATTAAAGGTATTAATTTTCTCTTCCCGTCCCTCCTCTCCCTGAATTTTTGCACGCGAAGCCCATCATCTGTGCGGGTCGTGTTGCATGTACGGTCGGGTCTCTTCAGAGCCGGTTAAGGTTAAAATGGGATCGTCTTTTGGCAGTGGTACCCGGTGAAGGCTGAAATGTAGAACAAGTTAAATCTCTGGAGATGCGAGTCAAATATCCTCCTGTGCTTTCTCTGTCTAGCTGGAAGCCCGTAATCTGTGGGGTCTTTCTGAATTTCTGCTGTTGAAACCACTCAGAATTGTAAGCAGAAGGGAAAAGCATTTGATCCCGCAATTTGAACTCAGTGCTGAACTCTGAGAAACTGACTTAAGGTCTCAGTATTGATCGCTTTTGTGCCTTTCTTATGTATTTGCATTTTGAGTACCAAAATTAGATTTTATTCCTTCTCAAATCTCCTCTAAACCAACCACATATTCCACCCACCCCACAACTCTGAATACTTTTCTGCCTAAATCCCTCATTAATTTTATATACCAGGGTACTAGTACCTATCTAAATAATATTCAGAGAAACCCTGCTGGTTCTTTCCATGCTTGAAAGAGTAGAAGTACTTTTCTCTATGAGATGTGGTTGTCCCCCAAATTCTGCAGAGTATCTCAAAATATAAAATGACTTGGCATCTGTAGAAGCTTTTGCCCCTGTTTTAAGTGCTGTGATGTTGGTTTTAATAGAAATAAGATTTGTACCTATGCTACTTTGAACAAAAAGTGACAGAAAACAGTTATTATGCCAGGGGTTTTCCTACATGGTGAGTAAATATAATGTCTCTGATAACATATGGAAGTATTACTTCTGAAGCAAGATTCTCTGGAGAAAAATGTTACAAAGTTTCAGAATATGTGATTTCTTCCGTAAGGAAAGAATATGTCTTTACCTGTAGGTATTGGCACTATTATGCAAGAAAGTCTAGAACAATGCCAATTTTGTCTGTTTCTTTGTTTTTTTAGACAACCACTCCATTCTAGATTTCTGGTGGTTTGGATATATTCCACGTACTTCCGAAGGGATCTGCCCAGCACTTTGGGAGTGTTAGAAGAGGCCAGGAGACTGAGCCCATCAGCAGTTATTAGGTAAATATTCCAGTAATCTAGCAATTATGTTAGTAATCTGAGGCTCAGGTTTGCAATCAAAATAAAAGTTTGTTCCCACGTTCTTCCAAAGCTGACAGTGATAAGCTGGTACCATAGATTTAGTTGTGGCCAGCTCTGAAGAACCTGGAGATGAATTGGTCAACAAACAGTTAGACACTAAGCGTTTTTTTTTGTATAGTTAGTATTTTTTCCAAGATGTCTGTAATACTGTATGTTGGTAATGAAAGCCATAAATATATTTCTGAAGGTGAAATGTGGCAGACTGATGCTGACTGATGAATGAGCTTGCTCTGAATTGTCAGCATCAAGAATGACTGAAATACGATGTCTTGATTTGAATCTCCATCTGTGAATATTTATTATAAATTTAAAAAAATCCGTGTAGAATAAATATGGCAAATGAGTAATTCTTGAACTTCCACATTTTCTAATGTACTGGGATTTCTTTTAATTTTTTTTCCTCTTCCCTCTGTTTTAATGTTGTGGTCAGGCATATTTCTGCAGGTGTCTCATACTAAATGAGAACACATTAACTTTAGGATGTAAATCCTTAGAAAATAAGAAATTGAAGTAAAATCTTAATGTCTGAAATGAAACTGAGAGATTGATCACATATTCCAAGCTACCCTGTGTCTACTTTTACAAAACTCCTGTCTTAAAAAATGAACATGGCAACATGTTGCAAGATAATTTTTCGCTATGTGAGTTATTAATGTTTTTTTTAGTTTTGTGCTATAATTTTATAGGTGTAAAGACATCTTGTAGAAACCAGCAGCACTTATTTCTCACTTCTGTATGTTTCTGCAAATCTTCAGAAAATTCCGAGTGTTATTACTGCCTTGAAGTGTTGTGGCTTTTGGGACAATCCTAAATCATAAAGACATTGAATTTTTCCGTTAGGCTTTGTATCAGTCCCTGATGAAAGATGAATGCTTGTCAGTCTTTTACTTTTTGATGAGGTATTTCCATCATGCGTAGTTGACACAGTGACTCTACAGTGATCTGAGTGGGGAAGGAATAGTTTGTATTTTCCTAAAAGAAGTTAATTTCGTTTGGAAAGATGCATACAAACTGTCCAAGTTAAGAAATTTCATTGCAGCTACCACAGTGTTCCTAGTGGTTGGAGGATATTATTGGATTTTGTTTTTCCCTTTAGAGTACTTAGCCTTAGAGTAATTTTTATTTTCTGTACACCTGGAAGTTAAATGGGGCCATTTGAATGCTACTGTCAGAAGTCAAGTGGCCCTTATTAAGCACAGGGAGCTCTTTAGAGCTCCAGTAATGCTTACATAAGATCCTGCCAGAATGGTACTTTGCAGCTACTCCTTTTACAAACATTACAAGCTTCCTTGAAAGTTTACTGGAACAAATGAACCTTTTAAATATTAATATTTAAAATATTAGTGTATTTCAAGTTTAGAATGGAGTTCGTTGATGTCTGCTACACTGATGGGTAAGGGAATCATTTGCAATTGAATGGACGTGAGAGAAAAGAGGTGACACACTGAAGCAGTCAACCCTTGAACCTGGTGGGTATTAGAACAAATCTTCCTGTTCCAGGGTAACATCCCTCTTGGAGCCAGCGGCTCTTTCACACCACGAGGTTCCACAGTGCCTCGGTCCACTGAACATTCTTCTTCAGGGTGGTGGATGCAGGAAACTACAGGTTATTTATGGGTGAAAGTAATAGCTTTTGCTAAGAGCATTTTCCAGTTTTCTTCCTTACCTTCTCTCTTAAGTGTTCATACAGTTGTACAGTGTAGTTTCACAATGCTACCACATTAATTTGTACTCATTTATCAATATTTTTCTCTCTCTTGAATTCCATATGCCAGGAAACAAGCTCTAAGATGTTAGAATAAATTTTTGGCTTTGTGGTTTAGAGGGCTAAATAAAGCAAACATAATGGTTCTTGCCTTCAATATCAGGTTTAATTAGAATACAGGACCTTCAAAATGAAGATCAGTGTATAAAGTTGTAGTATTTGTTTCCCCAACGTTAAAAATAAAAGTACAGATAGTTTAAAGTGTTAAAAATATAGATCTACATTATTTCAAAGGCAATATTTAAAAATATAATCCCATGGTTTTTGGATGAGCATTCATTTCTAGGGACACAGGAACTGCTTTAGGGAGAGACCAAATTAACAATAATAAAATAATAATGAAAGAAAGACAAAAGAAAACAACATTCTGGTTTAGGACTCACTTTTCACTTTCTGTGGAGTGAGTGTCTTGCCAATTCCCATTCTATGCTTGTACTTGGTTTTGGAAGGATTCCAGATTGAAGTCTAATATGCATGGCTGCCCAAATGCACCTCACTCAGATGGCTGCATTACTGCTAATTGATAGAAAAACCGTCTGCCTACAAGGATGGAAGTGCTTTACGCTGCAGTTCAGGAGCCCTTTCTGGCCAGCAGTAGTAGCAGAGTACTAACAATCATTCTTCAGAATAAAGAAAGACTAAATCCACTTTTCATACATAATAAATGCTGCAGAAAGAATTGAGTAGGGTGTGGATTTCAGTTAGACACAGAGTGTTGACAAGTTTATTTTCATCCTTGCTTAGTAGCAAAATGCTAAATATATTCTTCTTTAGTTACATTAAAGTATGTTTCCTTTCAACTTTGTCCTTGGTTTGACATGTGTTTGTTTTATTTTTAGCACTTGAAAACCAGCACGGTAATATCCCTATAGGGTGCAGTGGAAGCACTGGAGTATAGCATGAGAAAGTGAAATCAAATGCTTAATACTGAATTCTTGCAGGTGAAGAGGCAAAGATCTTGATACTGATTATGAACACAAAAAGTGAGTGGACTGACAGGTCAGAAGACTGTGAGATTTGATGGGGAAATTGCTCTTATCTATTCACTCAGAATGATCTTTTCTTGAAAAGTATAGAATAGAGCTATGTGATGGAAGTCAGCACTTTCTTTGCTTTTGTGGGTGGTTGTCAAGTGTTCAGTGTTCATTGAACATGAAATTTCTATGAATTTGTTATATTGCTTTATCCTTCCAAGCTTATCTTGGTGGTGTGGGGGGTGGAAAAAAAACATGCAAAAACACTTTATATGAATTATTGATGAAAGAAATTTCAAATATGTGTAATTTATTCACCCATGAAAAAACACACTTTTAATACGTTTTATTTCACGGGGATTTTTAGAGGGGTAGTAAAATAAAAGGGGTTTTCTGCTTAAAAATAAACGAGAATAATGTGAAAACATGAGTTTGGTACATCTTGTGTCATTTTAAAAATGGAAGCATTTACTGAAAATAGTTTCTGAGGATGGAAAGGAGATGCTCAGTAAAATAAAGCATGGAGGTACAGGAATCAGTGCTGTATCAAAGGAAAACTGTTGCAAAGGCACTCACAGAGTTGGGAATCTTGTAGAATATTGTGATGGTTTGGACTGGGATAGAACTAATTTTCTTCACATTATGTAGTTTGGGGCTGTGTTTTGGAGTTGTGCAGAAAACAGTGTTGTTAATAGAGGTGTTTTTGTTAGTGCTGAGCAGTGCTTACACAGAGCCAAGGCCTGTTCTGCTTCTTGTACTGCCATGGTGGCAAGGAGACTGTGGGTGCCTGGAAAACTGGGAGGGGACACAGCTGGGACAGGTGATCCCAACCAGCCTAAGGGATATTCCCGACATGCTCAGCATGGAAAGAGGAATTAAGAAGGAGGAAGGGGGGGATGTTTGGAGTGCTGTAATTTGTCTTCTCAGATAACTGTTACTCCTGATGGAGCCCTGGTTTCCCAGAGATGGCTGAACACCTGCCTGCCCACGGGAGGTGGTTAACAAATTATTGTTTCACTTTGCTTATCCGTGCAGCTTTTGCTTTCCCTATTAAAGTCTTTATCTAAACGCACGACTTCTCTTACTTTAACCCTTCTGATTCTCTTCCCTGTCCCAGGACAGTGAGGTGGTGGGGGACCAAGCAAGTGGCTGTGTGGTGCTTACTTGACAACTCAGTTTCAACCACGACAGATACTGACCCAGAGCAGCATCTGCAAGTGCAGAAATAGAAGATCAGTAAGGGAACAACACAGAACTAGATTTGAAATTCTGGACACCAGTTGAGAAATTATGCAGTTAAGGACCCCAAGCAGTCGATTAAAAAAGCCTATATATTACTTCCCTCTGTTGCCTCTAGGTATGAAGAGAAAATGAAAGGACATCGTGGCCTTTTTTTGCCAAAAGCAACACTCAGGAATACAAACACATATAGGAAGCAAGTCTTTGATAATCTATGAGAAAAATGAAATAAAATGTATGAGAAGTGAAAGTAAAAAGGAGATATATTCTTGTGAGCAGGTGTTTGGAAATGTCTGATGCAGATAGTGAGCAGACCATTTAGTTTCATTGATAAAGAAGAAATACCTCTCAGTCATGGGACATGCACGCATAATGCAGTTCTAGCTGTTTGAGGAGAAGAGATTAAAGGTCCAGTTGAAGGTGACTCTCTGCAACAGCAGTATGTAAGAAACCTTGAACCAAGACAGAATGAGGAGCATGGAAAAAATTGTCTATGGAAAGCGACGTCCAGATTTCACTCCCAGTTCTCCTCTTCCACGGGAAACTTTTTTTCTCGGTTGCACTGAGTTTCCCTCTGTTTCCCACTGTTTCAAAGTCTTTGAAGTAAATTCCTCGGTTTTGGAAACGTACCTGTCCAATCATGACCCAAGAGGAGGCCCTAATACTTTGTGTGTGTTTTTTTGGTTTGGTTTGGTTTATTAGGGGGTTTTGGGTTTTTGTTTTGTTTTGTTTTTGTTGGTTTTGTTCTGTTTGGTTTGGTTTGGTTTTTTGTGTGACTGGGAGAACTATACTTGTTATGAACTGGGGAAAATTGCAACAAACTGATAGAGCTATTGAATTTTCTTTGTACTTAAGGGACAAATCTGAACATTTGTTTGATTTTCTGTTTCACTAGAATGGGCAAGCAAGACATTCTTTGTGTTTCAGAGAGAATATCTACT